TGATTGGGGGAGGGGGAGGGAAATGGGAGGCGGTGGCAGGGAAGAGACAGAAATCTTAAAGAAAGAAAGAAAGAAAGAAAGAAAGAAAGAAAGAAAGAAAGAAAGAAAGAAAGAAAGAAAAGACTTAGTAAAATACATTAAGAGTTCACTATTTGTAATATCCAGAACCTGGAAACAACCTAGGTGCCCCTCAATAGAAGAATGGATAAAGAATGTGTGGCAATATACACTTTAGAGTTCTACGCAGTGGTAAAAAACAATGACATCTTCAATTTTGCATGCAAATGGATGGAAATAGAAAACACTATCCTGAGTGAGGTAATCCAGACCCAAAGAGATGAATATGGTATGTACTCACTCATAAGTGGATTCTAGCCATAAATAAAGGGCATTGAGCCAATAATAAGTGATTCTAAAGAAGCTAAATAAGAAGGTGAACCCAAAGAATAACATATAGTTATCCTCCTAGATATTGGAAGTGGACAAGATTGCCGGACAGGGGTTGGGAGAATGGGGGTAAGGGTGGGATGGGGATAAGGGGAGATGGGGAGAGAGAAAGGAGAAGGGGAGGATGGGGAGAGCTTGAGGGAATGGGATGGTTGGGATGGAGGAGGGGTGGATGAGGGAGCAGGGAAGTAGATATCTTAATTAAGGGAGCCATTTTAGGGTTGGCAAGAGACTTGACTCTAGAGGGGTTCCCAGGTGTCCAAGGAGATGTCCCCACTTGTCCCTTGGGCAGCTGAGGAGAGGGTGCCTGACCTGGCGTTATCCTATAGCCACACTGATGAATATCCTGCATATCACCATAGAACCTTCATCTGGCGATAGATGGAGACAGAGACAGAGACCCACACTGGAGCACTGGACTGCGCTCCCAAGGTCCATATGAAGAGCAGGAGAGAGAACATGAGCAAGGAAGTCAGGACAGCGAGGGGTGCGTCCACCCAATGAGATGGCGGGCTGGAAATGATGGACCATGTGATCAAACCGGACTCTCTGAATGTGGCTGATGGTGGAGGCTGACGGAGAAGCCAAGGACAATGGCACTGGGTTTTGATTCTACTTGACGGGCTTTGTGGGAACCTAGTCTGTTTGGATGCTCACCTTCCTGGACCTGGGGGAAACAGAGAGGACCTTGGACTTCCTATAGGGTAGGGAACCCTGACTGCTCCTTGGACTGGAGAAGGAGGGGGAGGGGGTTAGGGGAAGGGGAGTAGGAGGAGGGCAGGAGGTGGAAATTTTCAATAAAAAATAAAAAAAAATGTGACAATGGATGAGGGTACCCCTTTCTCCACAATCTCTCCAGCAAAGGCTATCATTGGTGTTTTTGATTTTAGCCATTCTGACAGGTGTAAGATGATATCTCAAAGTTGTTTTGATTTGCATTTCCCTGATTGCTAAGGAGGTTGAGCATAACCTTAAGTGTCTTTTGGCCATTTGAACTTCTTCTGTTGAGAATTCTCTGTTCAGATCAGTGCCCCATTTTTTAATTGGGTACCCTCATCCATTGCTGTTGGGAATGCAAACTTGTGCAACCACTTTGGAAAGCAGTGTGGCGATTTCTCAGGAAATCCGGGATCAACCTACCCCTGGACCCAGCAATGCCACTCTTGGGAATATACCCAAGAGATGCCCGATCATATGACAGGGGCATTTGTTCAACTATGTTCATAGCAGTATTATTTGTAATAGCCAGAACCTGGAAACAACCTAGATGTCCTTCAATGGAAGAATGGATGAAGAAAGTGT